GTGTATTCGCGGTCTAGGGAGCAGCATGAGGGACATTTGAGGGAGGTCCTTGAGGTACTGAGGTCGGAGAAGCTATATGCAAAATTCTCCAAATGTGACTTCTGGTTACGGGAGGTTCAATTTCTGGGGCACGTTGTAAATCAGGCAGGGATATTGGTCGATCCGGCCAAGGTGGAAGCGGTGATGAGTTGGGAGGCACCGAAGTCACCTTCGGAGATCAGGAGTTTCCTTGGGTTGGCAGGGTACTATCGGAGGTTCATTAGGGACTTCTCCAAGATCGCGGTGCCGCTCACCAGATTGACCCGGAAGGGTGTTACATTTTCATGGGGACCCGAGCAGCAGACTTCCTTCGAGACACTTCGTCAGAGACTGTGCGAAGCCCCAGTATTAGCTTCCGGAAGGGATGGAGGACTTTGTCGTATATTGCGACGCATCGATTTCGGATCGATTTCGGGACTGGTGCAGTGTTGATGCAGAGGGGCCATGTGATAGCTTATGCATCGAGGCAGCTGAAGCCTCACGAGGCGAGGTATCCCACGCATGACTTAGAGTTGGGGCAGTAGTGTTCGCCCTCAAAATTTGGCGTCACTACCTGTACGGGGTTCGTTGTACCATATACACGGACCATAAGAGTTTGAAGTATTTGATGGATCAACCAACCTAAACATGCGTCAGAGGAGATGGTTAGACGTGGTTAAGGATTATGACTGTGAGATCCTATACCACCCAGGCAAGGCTAATGTAGTAGCCGATGCATTGAGTCGTAGGACGGAGAGCACTCCATTACGGGACGTATGTTTGAGATTGACGGTGATGACTCCGATATTAGATGCTATTCGTGGGGCACAGGCCGAGGTTGTGAAATCTGGGATGCAGAAACAGGAGCGGGTCGTCGGGTTGATTTCAGAGTTCGTTATGGATGGACGGAGACTTCTGACGTTTCAGGGTCGGATCTGGGTACCATTCGTGGGCGGTACGCGTGTTACTTTGATGGAGGAGGCACACAGATTGAAATTCTCAATCCATTCCGGTGCTACGAAAATGTATTTGGATTTGAGAAAGGAGTACTGGTGGCCTTGCATGAAGAGAGACGTCGCCTGGTTCGTTGAGAGGTGTTTGACCTGCCGTAGGGTTAAGGCCGAGCATCAGAGACCGCACGGTAAGTTGCAACCCTTGGAGATTCCTGAGTGGAAGTGGGAGCAGATCACGATGGATTTCATCACTAAATTGCCGAGAACTGCCAGGGGAGTCGATGCGATTTGGGTGATTGTGGATAGGCTAACAAAGAGTGCACACTTCCTTGCCATTAGCGAAAGTTCATCAGCAGAGAAGTTGGCAGAGTTATACGTGAGAGAGATAGTTCTCGGCATGGGTACCGATTTCGATTGTTTCGGACCGCGATGTACGTTTCACTTCCAGGTTCTGGAAGAAATTCCATGAGGAGTTGGGTACTAAACTGCATTTTAGTACCGCATACCATCCCCAGACCGACGGTCAGAGCGAGCGGACGATTCAGACATTGGAAGACATGCTTAGAGCGTGTGTGTTAGACTTCGGGGTAGCTGGGATGCGCATCTGCCGTTGGCTGAGTTTTCCTACAACAACAGCCATCATTCGAGCATTGGTATGCCACCTTTTGAGTTGTTGTATGGTAGGAGGTGTCGGACTCCCATTTGCTGGGGAGAAGTGGGACAGAGAGTGATGGGCAGTACGGAGATCGTACTTCAGACGACCGAACAGATTCAACGAGTGAGGCAGAGGTTATTGACCGCCCAGAGCCGACAGAAGAGTTATGCGGACAGACGCCGGTCCGAGCTCGAATTCCAGGTCGGCGACTTCGTTCTCCTAAAGGTTTCTCCTTGGAAAGGGGTGATTCGGTTCAGAAGAGGGGCAAATTGGGGCCCCGGTTCATAGGCCCATTCCGGGTAATTGCAAGGGTAGGTCGGGTAGCTTATCGGTTGGAGTTGCCAGCGGAGCTGAGTCAGATTCACAATACCTTTCACGTATCACAGTTGAGGAAGTGTATAGCCGATGAAGCAGCAGTGGTTCCGTTAGAAGATATTCAGGTGGATGCGAGCCTGAATTACGCCGAGAGACCAGTAGCTATCAGGGATCGGAAGATCAAGGTTCTACGGAACAAGGAGATACCTCTGGTGTTGGTTCAGTGGCAACATCGGAAGGGATCGGAGATGACTTGGGAGCCGGAAAGAGAAATGTGGGAGCAACATCCGGAGTTATTCGCAGAATGAGACTTCGAGGGCGAAGTCTAGTTCTAGTGGGGGAGATTGTAACAGCCCGGAATTTCAGGTATTTCTTTAAATTATTTTTGGGGCTCAATTTAGGAGGGGACTCGGCGAGTTGGTACATGACTCGCCGAGTAGGACCATGGTCTTGGTCGCAGATACCGACTGGACTCGACGAGTCCAATAGGGACTCGGCGAGTCGACGCTGTTCGCTGAAACCCTAGCCGTTTTGATTCTGAATCGTATATAATGCCTTTAGGGCCGTCATGTCGCGTCTTTTGGCCGATTGAAGATACCTTAGGAGTCTGTGGGCATCTGGAGCAAAGGGTGAGGGCTAGTGAAAGCTTGAAGAGGTTGTAGACAAGGAGAGGCAAGGTGGTGATCAAAGGAGGTTCAAGGGGTCGAGTTCTGAAGGTTGGGGACACAGGGAACACGTTTCCAGGTAATATTCGGATCATAATTGTAGCTTTTCGTTGTATGCGAATTTAGGGTTTAGGAAACCATTTAAGGAATTGATAGATTATAGTGTTGTTACTAGTGTTTAAACCTCTATAATAGTATATGTGAAAGTCCAGGAAGTCCCATATCTATATACTACAGAATCATGCAAGATACAGGAGGCAGCGAATTGACTGCATGGCGAGGACTCGCCGAGTTGTTCTTCAGACTCGGCGAGTAGCTTGAAGATTCACTAGGACTCGCCGAGTTGTTCTTCAGACTCGGCGAGTAGCTTGAAGATCTACTGGAACTCGTCGAGTCGTTCTTTAGACTCGGCGAGTGGAGTCGGGGTGTCTAGACTCGCCGAGTTGCCCTTTGCACTCGACGAGTCCGGTCAAGTTGACCGTTGACCTGTATGTAACTTAGTAGGGTCAGTTGTCTTGTTTGATAAGATCATTAATAAAGGTATGTGGTATTATAGGGAACCTGCAGATTAGCGGATCGAGTGCGAGTAGCTCGAAGGGTTTATAGCTTGCATACTACGAGGTGAGTCTTCTCACTATACTTCACCCGTAAGGGTTTGACGGTGTGACCGGAAGGTTGTATGTGTTATATTTATGCTATGTCTAGGGAGGTAGATGCTTGGTATGTGATGTATGCTTATACGGGCCGGAAGGCGTGACTTATGTGATAGAAAGAATGGTATGATGTATGCTTTATGTGTTATGTGTGATATGCTATATGTGTTATGTTTATACTGTTATGGCCGGAAGGCAAAATACTATGGGCCGGAAGGCAATGTAATACGGGCCGGAAGGCGATATGTTATGGGCCGGAAGGCGATTATGTTACGGGCCGGAAGGCAATGTTATGTGGATCGAAAGGTCCGGGCCGGAAGGCGTATGTGGGTAAGTCGTATACTGGGGAACTCACTAAGCATTTATGCTTACTAGTTGTGTTTATGTTTTTCAGGTCTAGCGATGACCGTGGGAAGGCGCCGGCGTGACACGTACACACTGCCATCGATGAAGATCTTGAGGATTTATTATTTATACGTTTGCAATAAACTAGAATAAACTCTTTTGTCGAATAATGATGTTATTTTAAATGAAAAATTTATTTGAAAATTTGAGTCATTACAATTGGTATCAGAGCCTTGGTTTGAGGGATTCGGGTGTACTTTTGGGTGCAACTGAACTCAGACCGGGGATTTGAGGAAAAACCTTTTTAAATAATAAGGACACAACATTTTATAAATGGTAATGCGGTAAAACAAGGATGGAGCAGTGTGTACGAGCAGCCAGTGCCCGAACGGTAAAGATCCCCAGAATACCTTACAATGTTATATTATGCACTGAATTATGAATTGTTATGCATGCTAGAAGACTAGGTATACATGATAGGACTAGAATGGCCTGTTTTGTGATGCCTTGTCTAGGGAGATCGCTTATATGGGATGTTTGGCAGCATACAAGTAGATAGTGCATACTAGAGGTAGAGTACTCATTATTCGGGATTTGGGGAGGAAGACTTGGGACGAATACTGATACGGTGTGGTCGGTAGTATTGGGCCCGTACTACCGAAGACACCGGATCAGTGGAAGACCCAAGTAAGAAAAAATTAAAAAGAGAGAAAATGGAACAGACACTCCTGGGATAGAAGCGGAAAGGTCGAAATCGAATGTTGCATGGATAACATCTCATATAATGATTGGAAAACAATAATTTTGGGCTGCAATAGGATTAATTTTTAAATGCAACAAGAAAATGGACTCCAAAAAGTGATAAAACGAGCAATCATAACTTGTGTGTGAGATTCCCCACATCGTGGTAGAGCGTAGCCATGCCGTGGTCATAGAATAATGTCATAAACTAGATTGCAAAAATCTTCATGGCTACGCCACAACTACTGGAACTTTAGAAAAATCTTGCATTTTTCCCACTGCGATTTTTGGTGAGGAAAGGAAATGTTGGGATGGCACCCGTATATTCTGATGCAAGATCAAATTCTTCAGATATTATGGTTATAGAACTCGAAAAGTTGCTCAAAAACTATTCAAGTTTCGCTACCCGTACCCCTCACTTAGGATGTCATCACGTTTCTTTGGAAACAAAAATGCATTCTCCTATCAACCCGCTGAACCTAATGTCAGCATGACTTTTAAGAAACAAAAATAAAAACACATAATAAAAGGAAAATCCAATATAAACATAAAATAAATATTACGATTATCCTAGATTACTTAAATCCTAAAAAACAAGAAAAAAATAAACATAGTTTCAAACACAAATAAAGAAAAACATAAAAATCAAGGATAATCAATCGTCCTCGTCAGCTCCATCCTGATTTGCACCACTCATTCCCGTACCACCTCCACACTCAACCAATTTCTCCTCCCAAGAAGGAATGTAAGTATAACGTCTACGAGCTCCAGCCGAGGGGACCATCGACATGTAATGAATCATATCCTCCATAGAATACCCTAAGAAGTTTAAACCCCACCAATGTTATTATCATATTCTCGGGCTATTACAAGATATGGATCTGTGGATAATCCATTACTCACGGGTGCACCTCTAGGCTCGTAATCCTCCACCCTCGGCGTCACATTCCGATGATCCCTTGGAACGTTAACCTCATCATCTACCAGTACCTAGTACGTGTCATTTCCCGTGTCCCTCACTATCCATGTGGTTTTAAACAAATGTAGTTGTAACAAACGGCCAGCCATCCTTGTAAGAAACTTTGCCTCCAGCTCACTAAATATCTAAAGAGACATAGCCAATTTGGCGACCATCATTCCACCATAAATATGGTTCCAGCCCTTCTCTTGCCTGCCCGCTCTGTTAAAAAGTATGCAACAAAGTAAGGTAGGTGGCAAAATCATTTGGTGTAATGATACACCACAAAACGAGTACATCAAGTTGTGGCACCCAATGCCCTTCATTTTTTTGGTTGATAGTGAATTTGATCAACTTGTGAATGACTTTGTACAAATATTTTCTTATCTTTCCTTTAGATGTAGTTCCTGTAGTGTAGGCCCCATTGGCAATTGTTGTCCAATACTCAACTTCTGCAACTTCTTGTCGGCAATCATTTGTAGTAATGATCTAAAGAGATAGAAAAGTCAGGGGAAGTCACATCTAATCGATTGTACGGATCCAGCCTCCATGCAAGCTTAGTAAGAGTAATCTCCTTCGTCCCATTTTTCGAAATGGGCGGAAGCGAAAATTCCACACATAGCTCCACATACGTATGCTCTTGAAGCCTAAATAAACGTCTCCACCCCCGTGCAAGTAATCCGCACCCCATATTGTATAAATAACCTCATGAGACATGGCTCAATTTGTTCAAAGACTCCTACATCTTATATCCAATTGCAATCCAAAATGTGTGGAATATCAACGCCTTTTGTATGTAACCAACCTGACTTGTTTTTCCATTTGGTGGGATGTCAAGCCCACCAAGCAAATTACACCCTTTGATTGCTAAATAAACGTAATATAATGGTAAAAAGAGGTATCGATCCTCGGGGAAATGGTTGTATTTGTCACACCCCGAAAACCGAAGGCGGAAACATTTCCGGGGTTGACTCCACGTTGAGTATAAATCCAATGTACATAGTAAGTAAAGTGAAACAATCATTACATTACATATTAAAAGTTTTACAATTTGTTTCAAAAGTCACAGTTTATACAGTTGTGATACATAATATAGATATAAACAAAACGAACGAGCCTTGCACGCACACGATCCTGAACCAAGTAAGTCTTCGGGTACCTGTACTATCGTTGATCTGAGAACACAAGCAGTTTGAAAATCAGCATAAGGCTGGTGAGTTCATATGTAGTTTTGTTTTGTGAAAATGTTTATGTTTCCTTTCTGTTTCTTAAAATGTAACACACGCCAAGAAAATCCCATATTTTCTTCAAAGTTAGTTGTTGTATCACAAAAGTAAAGTATAGTTTGATTATCCACTTCATTGTTCTATTCCTTTTATGTACCAGTGTATTCCCAGGAAAGTCCCATACTTTCCTGAATTGTTAGTTATTGTAAAAGATGTAATGTTATTCAGTTGGTTACACTTTTCTGGTTATGTATATGTTACCCAGGAATGCCCCATGCTTTCCTGTATGTTGGTTTTTAATGTGAAAGATGTATTCTGCTAAACCTGGTTACGTACAAAGTTTTCCCCAGGAAGGTCCCATACCTTCCTGAATGTTGGTTATCTTATGTAAAAGATGTAAAGGATGTAAAAGATGTAAACCGAAACCTGGTTATCTGAAAAATGCAGTAAGTGTTTCATTATTACTATAAGTAAATCTCTGTTATCCTAGTTGCGAGTTCCATAACCATACTAAAGACTGAACCTGTGGCAATAAGTAGTCCACAACCTTGTGGCAATAAGTAGTCCACAATCCTTATGACTTTCGTCACCCTTGAACCATTTCGGTTCGGCTGTAGCTAGCAGCCAGGTGTGGGGTAGTCATCCCCGTATAGATCTATACACTCACGTCACGCTCTCTAAATTCCAGAGATTCTGGTTACAGGTGTAGTCCTCCACTCGCGTATCTCTGTGGAGTGTTCGCCGAGGACGTGTCTCCAATCATACGGAATAACAAATTTACTAGTAAAAATAGGATAATCCTCCATTCGCGTATCTCTGTGGAATGTTACCGAGGACAAGACAGTGTACAAAATATATTGTTCATGTGTTATAAAGTAATGCTTTTAACTGATAAAATGTGGAAATCATTTGTGAAATATATAAAACATAACAGTTTATAAAACCCATTTCACAAATAAATGTTTAAATGATCTTTATATTCTACTAGTTATCAGTTGTGTAATCAATATTAAAAGCATATGAAATGTGAAACACACACATGAAAATAAGTATTGAGTACAAGAAAACCCTTGTACTTTGCTTGTGCTCCCCCCCTGAAAACAGTGAAAAACAGTGAAAAAGGTAGGTGTATGAACTCACCGGACTCGGAAATGTGTCTGTTTTGGATACTAGACGTTGGTTCGGGGATGGTTTACTCGCGATGTTCCTATGTAAAATTTAATACTGTCCATATAATACTAATTAGATTTACAATCACTAATTATTTAGGACATTACACTCCAACGAGGTTAAACACCTCAAAACGTTTGGAGTGACCCGGGTGACATCTACGGATGAAATATGGCACTAGGGACTTGGGACTTGAGTTTACTCTCTATAAGTAAACATTTAAATGATTTTACAACCACAAAACACACCCACACATGAGTTTACGGCCGTGAACTCAAGTTGGTGTGATTTTGAGGGTTTAATGGCTTAAATGGACATGGGGATTGCTAGAATGGATATCTAAAATGCTTTGGAACACTTGGAATGAATTAACATCATTTAAAAGGGAGTTTACGGCCACACTCTTGGAGTTTACGGCCGTAAACTCACCCATGGCCAAGAATGATTAATTTGAACTACAAAGGACAATCACATGTGATTCTAACTAACTTTCTAAGCATTGTTATGAATTTGGGTTACCATTTAACAAACTTTTAGGAATTTACGGCCTAGAGGCATGTTCTATGGCCGTAAACTCTTCTTATGCTCTTGAAAAATTAGTTTTTGATTCTTAAAACATTCATATGTAATTCTAGAAATTTTTCCAAGCCTTTAGGGTGGTTTAAGACATCATTTGACACACTTATAGGAGTTTACGGCCTAGGAGGAGTTCTTTGGCCGTAAACTCACTTATGTAGGGCATTTGTTGTGATTAAGGTCTCCAAATCATTTTTAGATGAATCTAGGATTTACCACAAGGCCATTGGTTGAGTTTCAAAGCATTTGGACATGATTAAAGGCACTAAATCCCCATTAAAGAGGAGTTTACGGCCCAAGAACATACCTTGGCCGTAAACTCTCTTTTGTCCCTCATAATTCATGTTTTAATTGATTTAAGTCTAAATTTGCAAGCCTTATAGTCATATCTAAGTCCCAACTTTGATTTGGAAGGGTAATTTGGCTTAAAAACCCCATTTAATGGAGTTTACGGCCCAAGCTTGCTCCTTGGCCGTAAATTCAGGTTCTTGGTCCCAAAACTCAAATAATTCATCAAATTGAAGGCTAAAGATGTTGAATAACATGCTAGGGAGGTTACCTCAAGGATTTGAAGCCTTAAACTTGAGATTTGGACCTTAATTCTAGCTTGAGGAGAGAGGTTGTGAGAGTTTAATGGGAAATTGGCCAAAGGCTTCAAATGAAGTCTTAAAACACTTTATATAGTGTTCGGGAATTGGAAACAACGGAATTCTACCGGATACCGACGTTAAGTGGGGCTTTTGGTCATACCCGACCAAATTGTCGTGACTCGATATGGTCGATTCTATAATTATTCCGATCACTAAAGTGGGGTGTTAATAAATGTATTAGGACACCTATTAAGTCATTTTAGGTTGATATAAACTAATGACTTAATAAAATGGCGAAATCGGAAACGAATTTGAAAATGGCGTTTGGTTGATCAAATTGAATTACAAGTTGAGGTACAAGAAGTGATATGAAATTTCGGGTTGTTACATTATCCACCCGTTAGAGGGAATTTCGTCCCGAAATTCAAGACAAGAAATAAGATAAAATACAAATCACAGATCTAGAAAGAGTTGTCGATACTTTTGTTTCATCGAGTCTTCTTGCTCCCAAGTGAACTCCGGTCCCCGCTTGGCATTCCAGCGAACCTTCACCAACGGGATGCGACTTTGTTTCGTACGTTTGACTTCTCGATCCATGATTTCGATCAGTTCCTCCATGAAGTTGAGGTTTTCATCGATCTCAATCTTGTCTAACGGAATCACTAGGGTTTCATCGGATAGGCACTTCTTGAGGTTTGAAACATGAAAGACGAGATGGATGTTACTGAGTTCGTGAGGTAAATGAAGCTTATAGGCTATCGGACCAACTCTGGCGATGATTTCAAAAGGTCCAATGTACCTCGGATTAAGTTTCCCACGCTTACCGAAACGTACAGTGCCTTTCCAGGGCGAGACCTTCAACAGAACACGGTCTCCAACCTGGAATTCTAGTGGTTTCTGCTGATTATCAGCGTAACTCTTCTGGCGATCGCGCGAGGCCTTTAGTCGTTCATGGATTTGGATAATCTTCTCAGTGGTTTCACGGATGATCTCAGGACCAGTAAGAGCACTGTCGGGGACTCGACTCTTGGCTAACTGTGTATCTCCCACCTCGGCCCAGCACAGAGGGGATCTGCACTTGCGACCGTATAGGGCTTCGAACGGGGCAGCTTTAATGCTGGTGTGGTAACTGTTGTTGTACGAGAATTCGATCAAAGGTAGATGTGCGTCCCACGACTTTCCAAAGTCAATGACACATGCTCTAAGCATGTCCTCCAGGGTTTGGATTGTTCTCTCACTTTGTCCGTCGGTCTGAGGATGATATGCCGTGCTCATGTCTAGTTGGGTTCCAAGGGCTTTCTGGAGAGACTGCCAAAATCGGGAAGTAAACCTGCTATCTCGATCAGAGATAATGGATGCAAGTACACCGTGCAGTCGGACTACCTCCTGAATATAAATCCGCGCGAGTCTTTCCATCTTGTATGATTCTTTGATTGGAATGAAGTGAGCTGACTTTGTCAAACGATCGACAATTACCCAAATGGTATCATACCCACTCGAGCACTTGGGTAGTTTGGTGATGAAATCCATGGTGATCATCTCCCATTTCCATTCAGGTATCTCAGGTTGCTGGAGCAGACCCGAGGGTTTCTGGTGTTCAACTTTTACCTTGGCACAAGTCAGACACTTGCCCACAAATGAAGCTATCTCAGCCTTCATATTTGGCCACCAATATTGTTTCTTGAGATCTAAGTACATCTTGTCAGAGCCCGGGTGAACAGAGTATCCGGTTTTGTGTGCTTCCTCCGTGACTAACTCTCTAAATCCTCCGGACTTGGGAATCCAGATCCGATCCATGAAACAATGGACTCCGTCACTTCTGATCTCAAGTTTCTTTTCCATTCCTCTCGAAACTTCAGTTGACATGTTCTCGGGTTTGAGGGCTTTTAACTGAACTTCTCGGATTTGCATGGGTAGGTTGGAATGGATGGTTATCGACTGGCTCTTCACCTTGTTGCTTGTACTCTCCTTTCGGCTAAGGGCATCTGCTACCACATTGGCCTTGCCGGGATGGTAACGAATTTCACACTCATAATCACTGAGTAATTCTACCCATCGGCTTTGTCTCATGTTCAAGTCTTTCTGGTCGAAGATGTGTTGCAGGCTCATATGGTCAGTGAAGATCGTGC